GTCCCAGGCCACGGGGGCGGGCTTTCCAGATCCCAGCGCCTCCAGCGTCGCCGCCTGCCTTGAAGGTGCGCATTGCATATGCGCTCCCTCATAATCCTGCAAAGTCCGTACTGAAAACCCTACTTGACAAAGGACCAAATAAAAGCTAAGAAAGGGAAACAATTTGCCTACATTCGAACAGCTCTGAGTGCAGTCAGATTTAATCTAGGTCTCAAAAAGATCCAAACTTGGGTATGGGGTGGGGTCAATGGGGAAAAACACACAAAGGGGACATCTGTAATACCTCCAGCAATAAAGATAAAATAATAATAAAAAGATCCAGCCGAAAACCGGTTTGGCTCCGTGGACAGAGCGTTGGCCTGCGGACTGAAAGGTCCCAGGTTCGATTCCGGTCAAGGGCATGTACCTGGGTTGTGGGCACATCCCCAATAGGAGGTGTGCTGGAGGCAGCTGATCGGTGTTTCTCTCTCATCGATGTTTCTAACTCTCTATCTCTCTCCCTTCCTCTCTGTAAAAAATCAATAAAATATATTTTAAAAAAAAGATCCAAACCTGTTCCACCATTCTGCACTGCTTCCAGATGTTAGCCTTTTCTGTAATAACATAACATAAATGCTCACCACAGGGCCAATAAATATAAGTTCCCTCCCCTTTCAAACTTCTCAAAATAGCAATTTCCCTATTTTCTAACCATATTTCTAACTCTCCCGAATTCCCTGGAATCAATCATAAGGACAGATCAGATTTGTTCACTCCCAAAGAAAACCATGTTTAACAAATGCTCCTGAGCCGCTCACCACAGTGAGCGCAGAGCAGGAAACTACCTACGCAGGGGACAGAACGTACATGTGTTATCGGATAATTGCATGGGCTGCTCTTCTCCGTTGCTAGTGGAAGTGGGGTTCTTGAGGCACCTCTGGAATAAGAATTTCCAGATGCCCCATGAGGATGAGGTGTGGTAGAAAACTTTATTTGTATGGAATTATATCGCTTATTTTCCAAAGTCCCTTTCCCCTTAAACCAGTCCTGGAAAACACGCAGGTAGGAGTCAGCAGAGCCAAAGCAAAGCCAGCGTCCAGTTTCCATTCCACCCGGCGTAGTGTCAGGCTAGTCACAGTCCATGTGTGTGGGGTCCACGTGGCTGTGGGCCATGTGGTGAGCCCAAGCCAGGAGTCAGATCCCAGCAACAAGGAGCAGGCAAGAGCACAAGAGTCCCTTTGTTTAGGAGCTTAAATATCAAATCTTCCTGCACTTGCAGTGGCCACCCCTATAGGCCTACTCTGGCCAACGCCCTATTCCCAGGAATGACAGACAGGCAAGCACCCTCTACATCATTTAGACTTTAGTGAGCATGCCTATAATATTTGGCCTTTCCTCTGTTCCTTTCCAGTTAATTAATAACTGGGTTAAGTACAATATCAGATGCACAAAAGGATCAGAGAAAAAGAATAGGCAACTAGCAACACCCTCTCCTGTCATAGGGTAAGCAGAGCTGGTCTGTGACAGCTGTACAAAACCCTTGGCTAGGAGATAAGCAACTCCCAGTTCAATCTTAAAAGTGAGCAAGGAAGAAGTTACAGGCTTCAGGATTGGTGAAGCCAATCTTGCCTACAAGATTTTGCCATTGCTACAGATTGACCACTGAGCACCGAGATGGCACAGCACAGGAAAACACAGACTGGAAGGGACAGCCATCTATGTGGCAACAATTACAGGACATTCCCTTAAGTGCTGCTCTAGGGGATGACATATCCACCCTTAGCACTTCTTTTTTTTTTAATATATTTTTATTGATTTTTTACAGAGAGAAAGGGAGAGAGAGATCGTTAGAGACATCGATGAGAGAGAAACATCGACCAGCTGCCTCCTGCACATCTCCTACTGGGGATGTGCCCGCAACCCAGGTACGTGCCCTTGACCGGAATCGAACCTGGGACCCTTCAGTCCACAGGCCGACGCTCTATCCACTGAGCCAAACTGGTTTTGGCCCCTTAGCACTTCTTACAATTACCAAGGTTCATTCTGCCTCTTGGACAAAATAATACAAAGCTCCAAGGAATGGAAATGGATGCCTGAGAGCAAGAATCAGCTAATGATTTCTGAAAAAGGCAAGATAGACAATATCTTAGGCGTTGTTGGGCATCCAGCCTTTGTCACAACTACAGTGGGCCTTGACTTACGAGTGTCCCGACTAACGAGTTTTTTGAGATACCAGCTGTCTCTTGGCCAATTTTTTGCATTGAGTTGACAGAGTAATTTGAGTTAACGGGCTCCTTAATGAGCTCCTTAACGAGCTCCTTAACAAGCTCGGTTGCGGAAGGAATTAAACTCGTAAGTCAAGGCCCCACTGTACTCTGGCATTATAGAGAAGAACTATAATATATATATAGCTAATATGCAAAGTGTCCCCTCAGGAGTTTGACTGCTCATTATGATGTGCACTGACCACCAGGGGGCAGCGCAGAACGAAGGAAGGCCCCGGCTGGCAGCTGGAAGGAAGGCCCTGGCCAGCAGCCAGAAGGCCCCGATCAGCCCTGATCACCGGCCAGACCTAGGGACCCTACCTGTGCATGAATTTCATGCACCAGGCCTCTAGTATGTAAATAAATGGGTATGGTTGTGTTCCAATAAAACTTTATTTTCAAAAATGGAGAGTAAAGGGCCAGAGTCTGTCAAACCTCCCCTTAGTGGACTTATAGAGATATTAAAGGAAACTTCTCTCCTATTGCAAAGATTCATGAAGTAGGTAATCTCTCATCCCCTTCCTCTACCATCTGCCCAGGCTCTGACTAAAACAGGGCTCCCATCCATGTATAAGGAAGACTCCTGGTCATCAGTCTGGCTTTTGCTTGACACCTCTGGGATTCCTTGCCCACTCATGAAAGGCACAAATAGGTTTCTTCCCTAAT